CTCTCCTTAAAATCTTTCAATGGTTTCCCATTGCCTTAGGACAAAGACCAAAATTCTTAACTTGGCCCCCTCTGTTCCTCTCCAGACCCACCTAGAACAGCCCTTTTCTTGCTCTCTTGACTCCAACCTCAACGAGCTTCTTTCAGTTCTGTAGAATCATGCTATTTTCCAACTCAGGGTCTTTGCACAGGCTATCCCTTCAACTTGAACCACTTTTCCCTCACCTCTTCACCTTGTAAAGTACCACTTATCCATTAGGTACCAGCTTAAAAAGTCATTTTTTCTAAGTAACTGCCATTTGCCCCTTTGGATCCAATCTCCACCATTTTCTGTGATCTGAGAGACTGACCCATATGGAGTGCATCAACGGGAGAGTCCAGGTATTTATTTACTTATTAAAGTCAGGTATTTACTCTCCCAGCTCTCTCTCTCTGCTGGATTATTATTGGTTGGCTACGTTCCTCTATCAAAGGACATAGTTCCTGTCAGGCAACTCTCTCCAAATTACTCTCTCTCTGGGCTTAAGTAACTATTTCTTCCCCATGTCCCTGGAGACTGCATCATCCCTTGTAGTTTCACTCCTGTTTTACCTTTGTATATAGATACTTCATTAAATTCTCAACTCTGCCAATTGTTTTTTTCCAGGGCTGATACAATGACCTAGTACATATATACATTTATATAATCATATATATGTACACACACAAATAAATGAAATACAAGTTTCATAAAACAACTTTCACTTACCATGTGTGATAACACTCTGACATTTTGATTCTATCATATTTTGTTTTAAAAAGTACTATGATTATGATCTACAAATGGGTCATCACCTGCAGTTTGAAAAATGCCTTAATGACACTTCTCCAAGTGATACTTTCCCTGACTCATCAGGCTGGATCTGGCTTCTTCAGTTCAAGCACTCAGGACACTTTTCATTTTCTTGCAGAGCTCTCTTCACAATTTGTGATGTTTATGTCAATTTCTCCCCAGCAGACTGTTAAGTTCCATGAAAACAGGGACTGTGACAATGATGTGCGTTATTGTATTCTAAATTTCAGGCACTATGCTGAATAAGTATTTGTGGAATGAATGAATGAACGAATGAATGAAACTCACATTTAATGTGTTATTCCTCCGAGGAGGACTTACATTTAGAACCTTGATGAATGAATCCCTAATAGTGAAATTTCTAGTACATTTCTTGGACAGAGAAAATTGGATGTGATAGTGGCCTACAAGGTGCAAGCTCTATTCTGATGTATTTAAAATTTTTTTTTTTTTTTTTTGTAGAGATGAGGTTTTCATATGTTGCCTAGGCTGGTCTCGAACTCCTGGTCTCAAGAATTCCTCCACCATAGCC